AATCTACTCCACATCGTATCACATATATTACAATGAGATGAGTTAAATTTACTTTTAAACTGTATAATATCTAGAGGTTATTTTCAATTTTGTTTTTGAAGTTATTTTGTTACGGAAACGACAGGCCAGCCAGCCAAGAAACAAGCACCACTCGGAGGGTTGGAGTACTCAGATGTATTACGCTGGCGGGCTCAGTGGGGCTTCTGCTCCGAAGCTTTGAGCACTTCCAAGAAGTGCGCATGAGGTTTTATAGGGTAAATACAAGCTTGGGGTATTTGTCCAATAGGCATGGAACAGCTTTAGTAGCATCATTATCACAAAAGTAGGGGCAGGGAGACAGCAAACCAACATTCCAAAGCCAGATATGTATCTTTGAAAATCCAGCTGGCTAGCAAAAATACATGAACTGCAAACCAACACTAATTAACTTAGATTTACAAGTTTGTCCAGCAGAACTCAGATCAGTATTCTGATACTTAGATTTGTGAGTTATCTTGTTAGACCAGCCCAGTTTTTCCTTCACAATTTTAGTTCATCTAATTTAAAACTGGATATAATTGACCTGCAAAAATTCCTTATACCAGCCATTTTTTGAGAACTGAATTTTTAAGCAAAATATGGTTTCAATCTTAATTATATTATATGAACTTTATATTTATATTTTGAAAAGTATAAAATTATTTAAATTGTCTCCAGACATGCGTTACAGTTATCAAGGCTGTCTTCCTTTCTCTTTTTCTAAACCATTTATCTGAGGAAGAATTGATTTTTATAGGTCCCAATAATATTTGCATTTAATTTCTTCCCTTTCCAAAACAAATACATTTATTGTTCTAGGAACTCCAGTACACAACTAAAGCAAGGACAAAGTCACCTGCAACACCTCAAAAGTTAAGTTTACCTTTTCGTGTGTTCTTGAAAATGGCAGACTATGTGGTTGAACCATTAGGGTGGTCCCCTTTTGTGCTTAGCCCACTAGATTAGATCTGTTGTGTACTATACAACCCAACTCCTTAGCTGGCTTTGAGAGTCACCTGATCCATATGTGGGATGACTCTGCAAAGAATAAATTTGTAAATATATGTAAATATATATAAATTCTAGCTCCCCAAATTTGCCCAAATGCCTTAGGAAACAGTTTCATTAGCATTCCTATAAGATTCAAATTCCTCTTTTTTCTTTTTCCTGTGTAGACTTACCATGATTGGAATTTGAACTATCCCTTAGATTATATAAAACCAATAGTGATTAATTACTGCTA